ACATGGTCTATTGTGAATGAATTGAGAAACAAAGCTTTTCTTCGTCTAGCAATATCTCTACCTCACCTGAGAACCTTAAAGATTACTTTGTAAATGTAGCGAAAAACTTAACTAATACCATATGTCCTCCTCATGATCCACTTTCTTATCTCTCTAATGATAATGTAAACTTACACAGTTTCTTTTTTTCGCCCGTAGTTCTTGAAGAGCTTCGCAGTACAATTAATACCATCAAAAATAAATCCTCTTCTGGGACCGACGGGCTAACTTTAAAAATGTTTTCGAATCTGCCAGAAAGCACTCTGAATCACCTAACAACTTTAATAAACATGTCGTTCCAAAATGGTATTTTTCCAAAATGTCTTAAGACGGCAATAATCATTCCACTGCACAAAGGAGGAGACAAAGATGAAGCTTCTAACTATCGCCCAATTGCACTCCTTCCAACGCTATCTAAGATCATAGAAAGGTTGGTTAAAAACAGGCTGGTATCTTTTCTGTTTAAGTACAAAATACTTACTGAATATCAATTTGGATTTCTGAGCAACAAGTCCACAAATGACGCTATGTTTTCCCTCCTTAATAAAGTTTACTCCAGCCTAAACAACCATCATTCTACAGCAACAATTTTCTGTGATTTTTCTAAGGCGTTCGATTGTGTAAATCATGAGAACCTAATTAATAAACTGCAGCACTATGGGTTCAGGGGATCATCTCTCGAATGGTTTAAGTCGTATCTGAGCAACAGAAGTCAACTTGTGAGGGTGGATACCACGTTGTCTTCTAGCAAGCCAATAGAATGTGGAGTACCACAAGGCTCAGTACTAGGCCCTATTTTGTTTCTTCTTTTTATTAACGACATTGCTAACATAAACATCAGTGGCAAAATATGTCTTTTTGCGGACGACACTAGCTTCACTTGGAGCAACAAGGACATCGCGGCACTTCATAGGATTATATCAAATGACTTAATCACCATTAAATCTTGGTGCGATTCGAACCTCCTGAGTCTCAACATTTCTAAAACTAAGGCTTTGTCGTATAAAAACTCGTTGCAGCCTTTTGTACTTGACAACACCACCATTGACGTCGTAAAATCCGTAAAATTCTTAGGGCTTGTTGTGGACAATTCTCTGAAATGGGACATACATATCGAAGCTTTGTCGAAAAAATTGAGCTCTGCCTGTTTTGCATTAAGGTCTGTTTCTAAGGAGCTTAACTTGTCAGTGGCTAGAACTGTTTATTATGCACTTTTTGAGTCGCACCTCAGGTATGCCCTTCCATTCTGGGGTACGTGTTGTGCGGCTCAATTTGACCGCATTTTCAAGCTCCAGAAGAGAGCTGTTCGATATTCACTGGGACTAAACAGCAGAACTCATTGCCGGGGCTTTTTTAGAGAATTAAAAATATTGACTCTTCCTTCCTTATTTATATTTGAATCCGTTTGCCTAATACGTAAACATGTATCAGCTTCTCAAGAAAGGCCATCTCACACTTATCCACTCAGGAACGCGGAGCAAGATCTTTATCTACCTACCCCACGCTCAGAGTTAGTTAAAAGTTCAATATTATACAACTCGAAAAAAATGCACAATCACCTGCCATTTGAAATCAAATCCATAACATCATTTTTTTCATTTCGCAAAGCATTGAACTCTTATTTACTAGACAAGGCTTTCTACGCCGTAAATGAATTATATTTGAATTGAAAATTGAATTTGATCTTGAAAACACTGGTCTAATGTTTGCTATTGCTATATTTACTAATGACATCGAAATTAATTTATTTAGAGGTCATTGATATTTTGCTATAAACTGGCTAAATATTTTTGAATATTATTTTATTTTTTTTTGTTCTTTGACATTGTAAACATTTATATATGTTTATTTTAACAATAAGACTGACAATATTATTTGTATAATGTTTTGTATTATCTTTTGTTTGTTTGTTTGTGTACCTTGTTATTTTTTACTTTGTTTGTTAGTTTACCTTTGTCCACAAATTGAAAAATTTTTTGACAATAAAGGCATTTATTTATTATTTATTTATTTATTTATTTACAGACCATGCTGCTTTGAAATGGCTGTTGCAGTTTAAGAATCCTGAAGGGCAGGTAGCTAGATGGATTGAACGATTACAAGAATTTGACTTCGACACAGAACATCGAGCTGGGGCAATCCATCGGAATGCCGACGCACTTTCCAGAAGACCTTGCGCTAAGGACTGTAAGCATTGTTCCCGAGCAGAAGAGAAAGAAGTGAAACTCCTAAGAACAACTGTGGTTAATGATAGTTGGCAACCCGAAGATCTTGCAAATGACCAAACCAGTGACCCAGAATTAGGTTTAGTAATTAACTGGAAAAACACAGGCCAAAGACCAACGTGGGAAGAAGTTTGCAGATATTCGCCGAACGTAAAGTCGTACTGGGCCCAGTGGAATTCCTTGGTAATAGACAACGGACTACTTCGCCGTGTGATCGAGAGACCGGAGGGACAAGAAGAGAGAAGACAGATCGTCATTCCAAAGAAGAGGGTCCCAGAAGTCTTGGAGGAAGTTCACAATGGAACCAGCGGAGGACATCTTCGTGTTACCAAGACACTTGGCAAGCTGCGTGAACGGTTCTACTGGGTGAACTGCAAAGAAGATGTGAGGGCCTGGTGTAAGAAATGTGACATTTGCGCAGCCATTAATGGGCCACAAAAGCGTGGTAAAGCCCCTATGCGCCAGTACAATGTTGGTAGTCCCTTCGAACGAATAGCGATCGACGTGGCTGGTCCTTTCCCGGAGACGAACGATGGCAACAAATACATTGTGGTAGTAATGGATTACTTCAGCAAATGGGTCGAGGCCTACGCGTTGCCAAATCAAGAAGCGTCCACGATTGCTGATGCCCTTGTTAAAGAATGGATCTGCAGGTTTGGTGTTCCCATGGAGCTTCATTCAGATCAGGGAAGAAACTTTGAGTCCAATCTGTTCCAAGGCGTCTGTGAAGTCCTGAACATCCGCAAGACCAGGACGACTGCTCTACATCCACAATCCGATGGGATGGTTGAACGCATGAACAGAACTATCAACCGTTATCTGGCCAAAGTAGTCTCTGACCACCAAAGAGACTGGGACAAATTTCTTCACCTGTTCCTGTTGGCCTACCGTTCATCCGTCCAAGAATCTACAGGGCAAACTCCAGCCAGCATCGTTATGGGACGGGAAGTGCGCCTACCCTGTGATCTGAAATTTGGTTGCCGACCGGGAGAAGAAGTCGCCGGAGAAGATTATGTCCACACACTACGTCAAAGGATGGACGACATTCATCAGAGAGTCCGCCTAAATATTCAAAGTGCTAGTGACCGAATGAAGGAACACTACGACATTCAAGCTGAGCATGGAGGATACCAACCAGGGAAGTTGGTGTGGCTATATAACCCGCAGAGACGTCGTGGGTTATCTCCGAAGCTACAATCCTCGTGGGAAGGGCCATACGAAGTCATGGATAGAATTAATGACGTCGTATACCGTATCAGAAAATTGCCAAAAGGAAAACCGAGGGTAGTCCATTTCAACCGTTTGAGCCCCTACCAAGGCGAAATAGAAGATCGTGCTGGGACCGTGAGAACCTGCAGCTTTGATCCCCCTGATTCGGAGATGTCCTTTGACGATTTCATGGCCCGATACAACAGCAGTGAGAAGGCTCGCTATGGTGTAACCAAAGAAGATCAACGAGACCTCTTTTCCGTGCCTCCTGATTATTCGCTCGCTCATTGTGTGGCTCGAGATTTGCGGATGTCCAGAGGAATCGCTGCGACGTTCAATGAGAAGTTTGGGCGTGTCGGAGAACTACGCCGACAGGATCCAGAGGTTGGAAGCGTCTTGAGGCTAACCGACAATGCACATGGTCAAGCAAGGCACATCTTCTACCTGGTCACCAAGGAATGGTCCCCGAGTAAGCCGACTTATCTCAATCTATGGAAGACCCTGATTGAACTGAGAGAAGCCCTGCTAAACAACAACATTGCACGATTAGCCATTCCGAAGCTGGCGTGTGGACTCGATGGTTTGAGTTGGCGTACAATCCGGAACATGATTGAAGTCTTGTTCAGATTTACGGGAATCGAGATCCTCGTTTGCTGCTACAACCCAAAGCTGAGATCGGGAGAGAAAACTGTAGACTGCTATTTCTACCAGACTTCGCAATGTACCAGGGGCCAGCTTTGCAAATACCTTCATTCACCGTATAATCTCGGGACGAGCATGTACTTAAGAAGGGGCAGTGTTGCGGGCCGGTGTGGACTCGACCTAACCTCACAATATGGCCCGCCCTCGGATGACCTTAACATCGCATAGACACCGCAATGATTCATTCGTTCGAGAAGAATCGAGTCCCACTGGAATGGACTAGTACATACGAGAACATTCGAAAACCTTCTCTACGCACCTAACGATCTATGGACAATTCTAGAGTTCTTTACCTGTCGGTATAAAAGCCGGCGGCGGTGGCCTACAGGGGGCAGTTATAAATATACCAGTGCAGTTGACGCGCTAAAATTCAAAATAAATTCTTAGTTATAAATCGTTTGTAAATAGTTCTATAAGTCTTTTATCGTTATTGCTTTTGTTAATTAGTGTTAAATAGTGTTTAAATAAATTGTGACTTTCTATCCACACGGAACCGACGAAAAACGTAACAATAAGTTGTAGTAATTTTCGGTGAAACTGGAAGTGACCGAAAACAATTGAATACGTCAGTCAATCATAATTTATGTCATATACTAACATACCAAATCTCGTCTTTTTATATGAAAAAATAAAAAAGTTATAGGGGGTGAGCCACTTTTGAGACGCACCCGGTATTTATTATTATTTGTCTCGTAAATAAGGGCCAAATATTTTAAGAGATCTGGACAATAGAAACATTAGAAATTACTACTAGTTAAAATAGTTATTTAAGAGGCGGCCTTTATATTCAATATTTCTATAATATTAATCAGAATATGTAATCACCTTGCATCCAGATTTTTGAAACTTCTGGTGTTCCCTTTGTAATAGTACCAGTTTTGTCAAACATAATAGCTTTTACTTTGTGCGCATTTTCCAACGGGCCTGCGCCTTTTATAAGAATACCGTTTAGGGCACCAATTCCTATAAAAAGAGTATTAAAAAAATAAAAATAAATATATTTAAAAATTCATATATTTTAACGCTAAAAAAGTGGAGATAAATTCACCAGAGACGTGCATATGGGTTATCACTGGAATATTTAAAAAAAAACATGTGCGCCACCGACTTTTTTAGCCGACTATACCAATAGGTATGGTAGGTTATTAAGATCGACAAAAAAATTTTTTTTTTAATTTCACTCAAAATGAGTTATTTGGGTCATAAATGACATAAATACAAAATATTTTCATGGTGTCTGTCTGTCTGTCCGTCTGTAACACGATAACTTAAAAACCGCTAAACCGATTTTAACCAAATTTGGCACAAAAATACTGTGGCACTCGGTAATCTGGCCATTAGTTTTTGGTGGGGGTGGGGTGTAGGTAAGGGAGTATGGGAGGGGGTTAAAAATTTTTAAAAATCGTAACTCCAAAATTACAGTAGCTAGCGAAACGCAGTTTTCAATTAAAGATTAGGAATAATATTTGCAACAAAATTTGTAATAACATCAAAATCAGTCAAAGTCGCAGTTTTTGAGATAAAAAAAATTGGAAAAATTCCTTTACTTTGAAACTAAAAGAACTGCCTACCAACTTTTTATTAACATATTTTAGTATGGGCGCCAATTTTTTCTTTTGATATCAAAATTGTATAGGCCGTTTAATGCCAATTAAAAGCCATCTCTTCATATTTTGTCGAATTCGGCCTTCTTGATGAGATAAACGCTATTTTATTAATCACATTTAATAAAATTAAAACAAAAATAAAATAAATAAATCGTAATATATTTTACCTAATTTATTATTAAATATTAATACTATTAATTATTATTACTATTAGTCCAACCTACAGCAATTTGAAATAAAAAATAATGGTATTTAAGATAATTACAAAAAAACTAATTTTTTATAAGGAATCAATGATTACTTACTTAAAACTTTCGCAAGTTAATGATATTAAATTTTTTTAAAGGCTGCTATTAGACTTGGATCAAGATATAAAAAAATATCAAGATACAAGTTTTAATCGGCATTAAACTGCTTACACTATTTCGCTAACAAGAGAAAAAAATCAGTGGCGTACATGCTTTTTTTTGGAAAAATATTCCAATGATAACCCATATGCACGTCCCTGGCGAATATATCGACACTTTTTTAGCCTTAAAATATGTCGCATTTACTTTTTTTTACTTTTACCCTAAAAATTTCATTCAAACGCTAAAAGTACTTGGAAGAAAATTACAATAAATCGAAAAAATAGTAAGACGTTAACACCCTGTAGCTACGAAACAAAGCAGAATCGGACCTATGCACATGTGTTTTGAAACACCCTGTATAGAATATTAAACGGACTATGATACTGTATAAATATAGCACAGTACTAATTGCTTACCAGTTCCTACCATCACAGCTGTTGGAGTTGCTAAGCCCAAAGCACAAGGACATGCAACAGCTAAAACACTCAGTGCACATCTAAATACAAATTGCAATATAATTTCAGTCTTTGTAAATCCATGCTTCTCATGGTCTGAAATAGGTAATTTATCTATATCAATAACACCAACGATTGACCATATTATTAATGTCAGTAGGGATACACCGATAACGCCCGGCACAAAATACCTTAAAAAGATATATTTAAAGGAATATGTCTCGAATAAACGGTCATACCAACCCTGCAATTTTATCTGCCAAATGCTGTATAGGAGCTTTGGAGGTTTGTGCTTCTTCGACTAACTTAACTATTTGAGATAATGTGGTTGCTTCGCCCGTATGTGTAGCTTCTACGATTAATAAACCATACTGATTTATTGATCCGCCTATGACTGTACTTCCAATCCTTTTAGGGACAGGCATACTTTCTCCTGTTATTAAACTTTCGTCGCACATGGATTGACCCTAATAAAAAAATGTATAGTCTCTACAACGATCTTTCTTTATTACGTCATTAATCTAACATCCGTTTTAAGCAAAGACATCTAAATGGGTAGACAGAACACTCCATTCATAAAACTCAATTTTTTAGAATCATACATGGTTTGACACTTTTATGAGAGTTAAAAAGAGATGGGTACATAAATATGCGAAGTAAATATGAGAACACGGTTGAGTTTTCACTATCTTTCTGTCATTTGGCTCTATCAGTGGCGTGATGTTTTTTTTTTTATCAAAAACTGATGAATTTTATCAAAAATTGATTGGGATTGGCTCAGACCAATTTTCCATTATAACTAGTTTTGCCTGAGGTCTAACTGAGGATAATTCTAATTTCACAATCGAAAGCGCCAAAAAATAAGAAAATATACGTATTTTTGTAATAATCTACTTATAACTAAAAGTATCTAAATACGCTACTGTAAGCATGGCTAAAGGTAAAAAAACGTAATGACACTTACCGTCGACATATCAATTCTGGGTTAGAATAGTCCACCTTTTTACAAACTATGCATTGGAGAACCATTGTAGATAGTTAAAAACTACTTTAAATAGTTTTCTTTGCAATAAACATTAATAATTATTAGAAAGTTGTTCAAAAGGTACAAAAACTTTCAACTACCGCAGAAAACTCACAACCGCGCGCTGTCAAATATAAGTTGAATGAAAACAAATGAAAACGTCAAATGTCAGCGTAATTCTTACAGATTTCGACAATTTCGTAGTAAAGATGAATCCACAGCGATGCCGCTAGTTGTCATTGTAATTTCCCTAATATAATTTAATTAGAAAACTAAAAATAATTTCAAAGGTATAATCCTGGCACAATCTATGTATATTAATTAAAGTTATATACCTATACAAATATTTAGTTTAATGTTTCTATAGGTACCCAAAAAACATTAATAACAATAATAACACTTGGAACTCGAACCGTATTCTATCACATACCGCGTAAATCTGTCATCATCGATTTTTGCGGAACACGGTTCGTGATCGCGATAAAATGTAAATTGTTTTGTCTGCCTTTATTTAGATGTCTTTGATTTTAAGGTCTGTCTTCAATCAGTTCGTGTTATTTAGAAAATTTTAAGTGCGTTCCGAAATTAATAACACAGCCACACAAAAAAAGTAGTCTATGCTTTTAGCAAACCATCATATCCTATAGTATTTTTCGACGCTGAGCACGAATCCGCTATCAGTGATGAGATTTTTTTTTATTTTCTCCTACTACATTTTCCTGAATTTTCACGGATTTTCACCAGTTTTTGATGTAAGAAAAAAATGAGACGTGATGGCGTAATTCTGATAGCGAATTTGTACTCGGCGTCGAAAAATACTATAGAATATGATGGTCTTGTAAAAAGCATAGACCACTTTTTTTGTGTGGTTGAGTAATTGGGCCGTTCTGATTTTCCGATTTTATTAATTTCAAGTAGGTATGTTTGTCCTTTATTTATTTTGGATATGTTTAATTTAAAAATTAGGCGCACACCATTAACATTCAAGGATCATCACAAATATTTCATATATCTCTCGTACTCTCTCGCAGTTTCGAAACCCAATGTTGAACATCGAAATCGTCACGGATTTTTACAACGAATGGTTACTGTATTTGAAGTATCTTGAAAAGTTTTTTTAACATGATTTTTATTTCCTAATTATTTTTTAATCAAATAAACTATAACCTGTGTATGTATACACTATTTTTTTCCCAGGTATGATTTCGACACACAATGAGAGAAAAAAAGCAGATGACGTCCATACCAATCCATTTATTTAACTAAAAAAAGGTTCTAATATTTTTTAAGTTAACTATGGATGGGTTTATACAGGGTGGTCCAAACTGTATTCCGGAAACTTCGGCAGCGTATTCTGCAGATAAAAATAGGTAAAAAAGTTCGTATAAATGTATGTCCTACAATGCTTAGTTTCGGAGATACAGGGTGTAGAAGTTTCATATTTATTTCGATATTTTTTTAAATAATTTCTGAATTAAAGTCAACATTTGGATCAAATCTGGTGTCTGGGAGTTTTTTGACAAGAGAAATTTGATTTTGATGTCAATATAACTCCTATTTGTAGGGGGCGCCACCTATATTTATTTTAACTGTTTTGAAGATGAATAATAATTTTTCGTCCGTACATGTATAAAACCACTGAGTGAAAGAATATACATTTCCATGATTTTTTACGTAAAAAATGTCTCTTGGTAAAAATCTCTACGAGCAACCGTTCTCAAAATATTTAGAATGAAACACAAAACAAATACAAAAAATAAGCATGTTGAGTAGATAGTATTTGACTGAAATGATAAATTTAGGAACTTTTTATTTTTTTAATTTAATCATAAATTTTTGGCACGAAAACATTTTAAATTTTTGATTTCAGTTTAATAACTATTTAGTCAACATGTTTAATATGTGTCAATGACAGGTATTGATAATTTATGTTCTAAATATCTCGAGAACCATTACTCCTAGCGATTTTTACCAAGAGACCTGTTTTTACGTAAAAAACGTCGTAAATGTATATTTTTTTACTCAGTAGTTTTATACAGGTACGGACGAAAAGTCATTACTCATCAAATCAGTTAACAAATATGTAGATGGCGCCCTCTACAAGTAAGAGTCATATCAAAAATCAAATTTCTCATATCAAAAAACTCCCAAACACCAATTTTCAACCAAATATTGACTTTACTTCATAAATTATTTGGAAAAAATCGAAATAAAAATGAAAATCCTACACCCTGTATCTCCGAAACAAAGCATTTTAGAACATATTTATACGAATTTTTTTACTTATATTTATCTGCAGAATATGCTGCCGAAGTTTCCGGAATACAGTTCGGACCACCCTGTATCCGTCATCTCTTGTTGTTTTTAACCAGTTTTATTGGTTTATTTCAAAAATGACAGATCATATTTCAATATTATTGGTTTAACGGAACGATGAATGACACACGGACGCCGATGCCTATGAACTCGACTTAAAATTTTTGAGAGTTGTCAAACTCTTGCCAAATTATAGGTTATAATTTTGTGTCAAATTATGTCAAATAGAAATTATAAATATCTTGCATTTTGGACTGTGTTATTACGTGTGTTTTGTGCTTTTTAAAATTATTCTTATTTCTGCAAAACGAGTATCTGCTATCTCCCTATCGTGTCTGAAAAAAAATGAAGTAACACGAAATATTGAGTTTTATTGTTATAAAGCAAATAAAATTCTTATCTCTTTATCATATTAACGCATAAATATACTTCCTACATGTGTACATATTTTTTTGTACCGTTTTTTTGCTCTCCTGTAAAATTAGGAATAATGGAGTTAGCAGTTTATCACATTTTACTGACGATATATTCTTTTACCGAGAGACTATAGCTCATAATATATTTCTAAAAAATTAAAAATAATTACCTGTAACACTTTTCCATCAACGGGAATTTTTGCCCCAGGGACTACTTTCAAAATATCGCCTCTTTGTACTAAATCTATATGCACATTATTTTCCTTAATGACATCTCCTTTAGATCCAAGGACGACTATTACGGCATCTGTCGCTTTCAGTGACAGCAGTCGACTTAATGCTTCCGACGTTTTTCCTTTCGCTATATGTTCTAGCCATCGTCCTGTTAAAGAGATTGAAATTATAGACATTGATAATAAAATTAACACATGTTTTAGATACCTAAACTGATAAATACAAACAGCATTGGTGGAGTATCAAAAAAGGTTTGCGGTGACGTATTCTGTTGCATAATCATAGCAGCGGTAACAACACAAACGGAATAAGTATACGATATAGACGTAGCCATCGCTATAAGTACATCCATATTAGTTGAGCGATGTTTTAAAGCTCTATAGGCTTGAATAAAAAAGTGACGGCCGCCTAATATTAAGACCGGTGTCGACAGGAGAAACATTAATAGGTTTTCTAAAGATAAACCTAAAATAAAAAAAGTATACATATTAATATAAATTACTATTTTTATCTAAAGGTGGCTACACACACTACTGCAAGCTTGACAAGCATGCATGAACAATCTTTTTGTACAGCCATGCATAATTTACCTTCGCCGCCACACGATACAGGCATGCTTGAACAAGCTTCAGTTTATGCCGCGAAAAAGAAGAAGGAAGTCCTCGAAAAAGAAGAACGAATCCTAAAGGCATTTATCTTTTTAATAACGGCATCCTTATCGGCTTGGCTGTCAATTAATCTATACTTATTAAGTAAAATTTTGTATGCTGCATCCTTTTTCACCCTATCATGATATTCTGGTGATTTAATTCGCCAAAGACACGGCTGATTTTCGAAGGCGCGAATAAAATCTTCCAATAATCCTCGATTGCTCCATTTAAGTCATCCTCCTCCTTTCATTCCTCGTCATTTACGATCACGGGCTGAACTAATTGTTTGTACAAGCTGAATACATGTGGTACACACGTACCGTTTCACTTGCGCAAGCATGGCTTGTCCAAGCTTGCATGATTCAAATTCAATCATCAAGCGGCTTGCAGAAAATGCTTGCGCAAATCTTCCCTACAGACGCTACAGTTTGCTTGTACAAAAAGATTGTTCATGCATGCTTGTCAAGCTTGCAGTAGTGTGTGTAGCCACCTTAAAACCCCGTCTACAGATAACGTTTTACCTTATTACCTGTTCAGTCAAAATGTATCAAGTAAGGGTGTCAAAAAAATAGTGTATCTAACTTGTAGGTGATTCTACAGATAAAAATAAGACAACAAGTTCCTATGTACAGGGTAGCACCCTTTTACATAGTAAAAAGCTGCTTTGGAACAAGGACTGTATATATTCTAAAGGACTGTTCGATCGCGTCAAATTGCCGCTGTCGTAGTCGCCGTGGAATGCTACGTCACGCGCTGACCAGCGCTCCACAGTGCGGCGGATGGTTATTCTAGCGTGACAAAATCTCAAGAGCAATGTTTGGGACTTAAAATCTAAGAACGTAGCAAATGGTCTAATATATAGCAACTATATGGTTAAATTTATTTATTTATTAACAACTTAATTTATTAATAAATAAATACAAGATAATAAAACTATGATATTACGTACATGACACACAAAAACCGTATTGTAAACTATTGCAAAAAACTCTTTAGCAGTTTTTTTAATTAATTTGTAATCTTGTGACACCCTCTATAATTTATTTTAAAAAAATATATTTTATTTTGAAAATAATAAATAAGATAGATATTTTAATTTTAATTTTAACACTCGGTAATTGTAAATTCATATATAGTAAGTATCTAAGACAATTTTTTAAACTCAGTGCCTTGTGATGGAGTTGTTTTGTTTTTATACTATCCGATTGAAATGAATCTTTTTGGGCATTCACCTGTTAAGCTTGAACTCCCTGTGACTGTGACTACCTGTGTTGGTAACTATTGGTAACTCAAAAGATCTACATCATTCAATATATCGATATTTGAAAAAATAGTGAAAGTTTGATATCTGCAGAACAAAGGCACGAAGGATTTTAACAAATAACATACGTACAGTAGAAAAGTACATACCTTTGGAAATCTTCAACATAATTTGGCTTTCTAATAAAATGTATAAGCACTTGTAAATATTTTGTTTTCGTATGATCTCTGCCTTGCTGAGCAGAAAACGACCAAATTTGGTTGATAAAAATGTATCGAAATAACAAAGAATATTCATGCATTTTTGTATCAATTTTAATGTCTACTGTTTATTCTTATCAGTACACATTTTTTGGCTTATTTCTAACCAAACGCTTTTGTCCCGCTAAATTTATCTTCCAACGCACTGTGCGCTCGTCCGGCAAATGCAAAAATAACTGTCAATGTCTAAAATCTTTAGCGCCAACTTCAACTCGGTCAGTAGATGACGTAAAAAACTGACAGTGCAGGAAGATAGGAATCGAACTATCCTTATCTCTATAGTATCCTTGGCTTTGGAAATATTTTCATGGTTTTTTGGTTTAAGTATAATTTTTATTAAATTAATAATAATGTAAGAGTTATCAACAGAAAAATTGATTTTTTATTTAGGAGACACCCTTTATATTTTTAATTAAGTGAAAAGAACTTAAATTACCTTTCCAAAAATATAGCACACTTCATATTTTGTTATGGTCCCTTTCAAAATAAAGAATTTTTTCGCTGAAGAAGAAAGTTCGCTACTTTTAGCTAGTAGGCTTTGGACCCCTTATTGATAATCTGCCCCTAATGGAACTCGAAAACATATTTTTCCAGCAAGACGAGGCACCGCCTGAGAACGCCGAAGTTATCAGCAAAGTTTTGCAGCCAATTTCGAGAATAATTGAATAACTAACCAAGATCCCAGCCGTTGGCCGTCGGGGCCGCCGGATTTAGTGCCTGTTATCCTTAGTGGATTTTTATCTTTGCGGAAGAATAAAGGTTCTTATTTTTAAATTTCCTGTATAATCTAGACAAAAATTAGAAGTAGTTAGCAGCGGTTATTCGAGGGTATCTTTCACCCTCACTGAGTTTGGCGAATGAATTCCGCGAGAAATGTTCAAAAACTGAACCTAACCAAACCTAACCGTCTGTCCATAACAGAAGAGGGGGGAACACCTGTAGCAAAATCTCATAGACATTTTTTAAAATCTCATGTCTTGGTTTGCTATTAATTTTTATTGTTATTAGATATAGTTTAAATTGTGTTGATGTTATTAAATATAGTTTAAATTGTTATAAAACTCTGCATCTCTCATTGCAAATATTATTTTCGTTTTAATTGCTGCACATAGCTAGAATTTTTTTGCATTACAGCCGGCGCCGTTCAAAGCCTACTTATTCAAAGTGGGCATATTTTTAAAAACTCTGTATCTCGAAGAGGAATCGAGCAAAATATCAAGTATGCTATATTTTTAGAAAGGCAATTTTAAATTCTTTTCAATAGATTAAAAATATACAGGATGTCCCATAAAAAAATCAAATTTTCTGTTGATAATTCTTTAATTATCAATTTAAAATAAAATTATACTTAAACCATTAAATTTTACATAAAAAGGTGCTTTGGAAAGGTTTTCACAAAAATACAAAATTTTCCATAGCAAAAAAGTTACAGCAATTTGTTAAAAATGTACATTTTTAAAAATCACCCCGTAACTCATAAACGGTAACAGATATCGATGTGCGATTTTCAGCATCATGTTTTTGATAAAAATTGAGCTCCAGACACCAATATTAGTTTTCGTCTATCTCCTATAACAAAGGTTGTTTCCCTTTAAAAGCGTCGAATTTGACCCACCCTGTCTAGAGAACTGCGGATGTCGTCAGAGTTCTAAACTCTTTCATTTCAACTGATGGCAAAACGGCAGGTAAAACGTTATGGGTAGATGGTTTAAAAGCTAGCAGTATTTTTGAGGCAGGATTTTAACAAAGCTTCACCCCTTACAGATAAATATAGTCTAAGGATAGAGGTCGTTCGTTGTTGCTAAGGAAATATTGTTAATCCAAATATAAGAAAAAAAATTATAGGTCAATGGTGCCCGGTGGTGTAGTGGTACAGCTCTCGTCTACCAATCTAAAGGTCTTGGGTTCGAATCCTGCAGAAGGCAGTTCATCAACCGACTAGTTTTAATAAATAAAAATAGTTTTGGTTGCCATTTTATTGAAAAATTGCTCTTTATTCAAAATCTCAGCTAGATAGGTGTTTCCTATACCTATCTAGCACAACCTAATATAGTTTTAAAGAGCATTTGAATCTGCTTCGATTTGTTTTGAAAAATACAGGGTGTTGTATTTGAAATAATGAAGTTTTTATGTAAAATAAATATTTAAAATAAACCGGCAATTTTTGATACCCATGTATACCTTAAACGAAGCAATCAAATTTTTCAGTAAAGTTTATTTCCTTGGCTTAGAAATCAGCAAAAATTAATTCTAAAAAGCAATCTACAGCGTGTTCACAATCTTATACAGGGTGGGCCACTGAAAACTTACAATGGCTATAATTTTTAAACCAAAAAAGATATCAAAAAAATAAAAAATACCGTTTCTATAATATCGAGGGGGAATACATATGACGTATTTTTTGAACCACCCCGACCTACCCCTTAGGAGGCACCCCTACTCACTTGAAAATCTTAAATGGCAACACCCCACTTGTGGCGTCTTTTTGGAAAGCTCATGAAAAATGCTAAATGATGATCATAAAGTTTTTAGGGTGAAATTGAAAAACTACCCTTACACGAACAATTAGGTGGACATTAATGAAAAAGGTGATTTTTTTCAGCATAAGTTACAAATTGGAACCCAGCTAAATGAAGTATTTTTCAAACCACCCCAACCCACCCCTAGGTGGCTCCCCTCACTTCTAATCTCAAGATAGCGATACCCCACATGTGACACTTCTTTGGAAAGCTAATTGAAATTGCTAAAAGATGGTCATACAGACTTCAACTTAATTACTGGTTAGTGACAAGAAATGTAGGTGTGACAATTTGAAAGAAATTTAAAATGATAATTTATTTTAATAATTGCTCAAAATAACAGCCGTTTTGTTCCATACAAAAAATACAAACGATTTTCAAATTCTTCTCTCACTTTTTGGAAAGTTTCTCTCGAAATATTTCGACATGCTTCAGTTCTCCTCTGCCGCAATTCTTGCAACGAACCTGGTTTTGTCTTGTAGACTATGGATTTAGTGTAACCCCACAAGGAGTGAGATCAGATGACCTTGGCGGCCACTCGATTAGACCCCTTCTGCCAATCCATTGCCTTGGATAATATTTATCCAACCACCGCCTTGTGACAATAGAATAATGCGAAGGGGCTCCATCTTGCTGAAAGTGTATGAGGTGTTCATTAAGAGTTATAATAAATTTCTTTGTACCAGCTTTTTTTTCTCGCAATGGTTCATGGATACAAAAATAATTCATTCTATTGATTTTGACACGTTTTGAGGTCACACTTGAGGTTAGAAATGAGGGGGTGGCACCTAGGGATGGGTCGGGGAAGTTTAAAAAAAAATCATTTTGCTGGGTCCCAATTTGTAACTTATGCTGAAAAAATCACTTTTCTCATTAATGTCCCCCTAATTTTTCGTGTAAGGGGTAGTTTTTCAATTTCACCCTAAAAACTTTATGATCATCGTTTAGCATTTTTCATGGGCTAGCCATTGTAAGTTTTCAGTGGCCCACCCTGTATTATAGCATGCATATTTAAATATCTTTAAATATCTCAAAAACCAGAGCTTGTAAACATATTTGAAATGAATATACAAAATTGAAAAAAAAATGAAATAAAATCCTGGGTGTTCCATAAGAAAAAAATATAACTTTGGTATGGATCTTAGTTCTGACATACCCTGTACATTTTAAAATAATTTTAAATTATGCACATTGCGTTCCCACATATACCCATAAAATATTTGATTTCAACATTTTTCCGTTTTTGTATAATCAACCAAGGCAAATGAGGTGCACCGCCCTGCATAAATCGGTCAAGAGAAACCCCTGTAAATTATTTTCAAGTTCAAATATTGACCACTAGAGGGCGTATTTAGTAAACGACCCTGTCCTCTCTTTCGAAAAACATTTTATACCTGGTATAACACAGCACATTTCTTCATGGGAAGCGGTACTCGACGACATGAGAACCATGAAATACAGCATAACAATCATACAAGGTCCGCCAAAAGCTAGAGAAAATAAAAAACTTCTTTTCCATTTCCTAATTTCATCTTTTTGTTGAAGCCTTTCGTCGTCTCGTTCCCTAGTAAATAAGCGTGCCTCAAAACCTGTGCTAAAAAATGTAATCAATAATGCGAAAATTATTTAAACAATAAAACAGGTTTGTCTCACTTGTTTATAGCGTCAATAATAGTACGAGGTCCTGTTACTTCTGGATCATATGTAAATTTGCCTCTTTTTGTAGTTATAGATACTTGGGCGCTAACAACGCCCGGTATTTCGCTAGCAGTTTCCTCGACCTTACGAACGCAACTGGCACAAACCATATTCGATATTTCCAAATCAATCTGCAAATAAAAAATGACCCATAAAAACAATCAAACTTGAGTTTTTTTTAAAATAAAATTAACTGGGTATAAAGTACCTAATAACCAGAGATTCGAACTTAATATAAATTAAGTTGTTCTTCATTTTTTTTTCACAAGTAATACCTTATGTCTTAGTAAAAAAGTCTTCCAAAAAATCCTCTTTGGGTATTTCGCCACTGCAAGAAAATCTACAAAATAAAATAGTTATTTTTTGTATACACTTCTGGCGTTAATCCCAAACGGAAACTACTTGTCAGAATTTATGTTTATAGTTATACAAATTTGACTAACGAACAAAAAAAATCCTTAACGTTTCGGAAAGTTTATCTCTTTCCGTCGTCGGAAGCAAAAACATACAAAAAATAGAGAAAAAAACTATTTAAAATATTTAAATTCAACTATTCGAGAACACTTTAGTTTTTTAAAACAGATACGTCTACTAAAACCGCCATAGAAACTTTCCGAAACGTTAAGCATTTTTTTTGTTAGTTAAGCAAATTTGTATAACTATAAACATAACTTCTGACAAGTAGTTTCCATTTGGGATTAACGCAGAAGTGTTTATAAAAAATTACTATTTTATTTTGTAGATTTTCTTGCAGTGACGAAATACCCATAGAGGATTTTTTGGAGAGATGAGTCCGCCACATAGGTATAGACATTTTTTAAAAAAGTCTTATTACAATAATTGAAGATTGGAACCTTTGTTGTTACAACAGCAAAATAAAACAGTAATTCATCACAATAAACCAAAGCATTTAACTTTTGCACTGGACGCGCGTTTCGATAGCCATATTAGCATCACCAGCAGATGATTAAAACTAAACTAATATCTACAAATTGAGCGTTCATATAGCAGTTCTCTTTAAATCGTCTTCGTGAGGCGGGACACCGGTATCAGGTCTAGGAGAGACCAAATTAAAGAGAAGAAAATGGTTATAGATCCTCCAGCCTCCACCTCACGGGTACCTCAGCCGGAGACAAGCTCCTAGACTGTGAAGGGCAAGAAGAGCTAAACCCTAACCGTGGTAGAATGTATACCGTCGTATGAGGTAGATGCCCACTCCTCGGACCATGAACATCTGTTGTCAGAGGAACTGCTAAATAGCCATGTTGCTGATGAGGGTTAATCTCGAATCTCCCTCTTTCTCAAAGGAGCATGGGAAATACCCTGCATGGGTCTCCCCTACAACAGAAAGATCCCATTTGTATGAGTTATAGACTGTATGATGAGCTCAAGAACTCAAGAAAGGGGGACACAATAGATCTTTAAGACCGCGGTGATTACAACCCCGTCCCCCTTTTTACTCATTCGACACTCTACAACGCTCAATTTGTGGATATTAGTTTAATTTTAATCATCTGCTGATGATGCTAACACGGTTAGCAAAACGCAAAAGTTAAGTGTTTTGGTGTATTGTGGTGAATTAGTGTTTTATTTTGATAAAAAGTCTTTCCAAGATTCACAACAATTTCACTATGATTCAAGTCCCCTAACAAGGTCTTTCCAGATTTATAAACTTTACATAAAACTAATTACGAAATTAACAAGAAATATTAAAAAAAACAGTGGGTGTGCACTATGTGCGCATATTTAAAGTGAAACTTCTTACTATCAGCTATTAAAGTGAAGGATTTGAAGGATATATATTTTTTATGAATGCTTCTTTTAAACTTCAAAAAAATTAGAGTTAACATAAAACCGTATACTATTCTAGCTTTATAATTTTATGTTCTTTTTAATTTTATTAAACATTTCATAGAAATTAAGATAGCGACACAACTTTATAGGCAAACGTTAGCGTTATTCGAGGCATCATCAAAGAAAGCAATATACGCTTAGTCCCAGAGATGTTACAGATTAGTTATTTTGCCATACAAGGGAAAAACGAGAGTAGCCCACGCGTAATTGCATTTGTCTCTAGAAAAATATGTTATCGATATATTCAAAGAAAGCCCCTTACTAGTTCGGTGACAGAATGACTCGTGGCTAATGTCATGTTGGTAATGAATAATGAATGACCACAAAACATCCCCTTTAGAACTTTTTCTTTAATGGCTATAAGCGGGAGTAAAAGCCCAACCGCCCGAACAAACACTAGAGGCGCAACCAGAGAGAAACTAATAACTAAAGTGAGAGGGCTTGTGGAATAGGGCATTTCGTAGACAAGTTTATTTTGTCATCGCGCATCCCAGACGCGCATAGCGTTTAGGAGGTCAAAAAAGGTTTTCAACTTTGCAAGTTAAACATTTGACAGGATTAATTAGATTGTCAGTAGCTTTTTCTATTTCTTGGTTCTAGAAGGAGATAACTAAAATCTGTTGATAATCGGAGCAAATCGGAGTAATAAATTGTTTTTGACTGAATGTGCCTGTTCTTTTAGCTTGTCAGAAGAGAAGATTATTGTCATTATTGACTATTTCAGATTCCACGATTATTCGGCATTTTTGTAATTTTTGTTTTGTGGTTGAGACCCAGACAAAACGTTTCTTTTAAAGGTAAGTTTTATCACGGTAATTATTTTAACATACCTAATAGTAATAGTGAGTGCACATAATAATCGTACATTGCTAATTTAATTTTTTTAATTTAAAACATCACATTCTTTTCTGATACTTATGGAACGACTAGGTATTATACCCGGTATTATTTCCAGTAATACAAATTATTTTCTTTAACTGCTAGGTTGTTGTTATAGAATAAAGACTATCAAAAACATTGAATACCTACGGGATACCTACTGATACTCTGTGCGAGCTCCCAACCGTGCTTCCCTGTTCACTCCCAACCAAGTTAGATAAAAAGATACTGAAGATTGCAGCCTTGAGTTGGAGTATGGCAAGGAGTATGGAGTTAAATAAATTATTATGTTCCTCCACAGTATTTTATTTATAGGTTTTAATGCTTTAAAGTCTATTAATAAATTTTCGTTGTCAACAAAATAATCCAAAAAAACTACGAAGATTTCTTATTATAAATTTGAAAGATTAAGATTCGGTTCAAATATACAAATTTTATATTTTTGGCGCCAGTATATAGGTATGAATGCAACCTACTATATCGATAATGCGCTCATAGTTCGGGTTAGAAGCCAAAGGCCGCGCCACTAACACAGTCTTCAAAAATTAACGTTGATCGGTCTCTCTCACTTTAGTTATTAGTGTTCTCTCTGGGCGCAACCGGTCATCAAACGGTGTAAAAATTGCGAATATTTAATCATCTAATTTTGACACAAGGGGTCGCGCTTAACTTTTTCAATTTTAATTCAATATTCATTGTTTTCAAACTATATTATTAGACTTTGTTGTATTTTGTGAATGTATAAATGTTTTCTTAGTATAAAGTTGCATTATAGTAATTTAAATTGTATTACTCTCTGTGTATTACATACATATTTAAGATTCAAATATTATGACATATATGTCAGTTGCCGTCTAAAATGTCATCTTGATAACAAAAAGTTAGTTATTGTCAAAGTAGTTAAAATCATGTTAAAATATTAAAATTTACAAGTTATAATTAGATATTTTATATTATTTCAACAACAAACACATAATAGTACAGTGTAATGTTGATATGCAGGTCCAAAACAAAAAGTGCCGTTATATTTTTCAGTTTTCGTTGTCAGCCGCGGAAGTTTCAGTGATTTTAGTGTTGTCAGATCTTTTTATTTGTGAAATAGAAATATTGCGTTTGGATTGCAAAACTAAAAGTGGAAGTTTTATTGCAATGTAAGTAAGCGTTTGTCCATTTTATATTTTAGTTTTTTCATACCTACGATAAATATACATATATTGAAATTTTATAATTCGTTTTATTTAAAGATATTAGAAAACAAGCTTGTAATCCTGTAATTGACATAATGAGGATATATTTTATTTTTCGCCAGAAACTGTTCAATTTATTAGAATAAATATGTATAAATGCAAAAAAAAACTTTTTTCTTGAAAGCAGTACCACAATTTTATAAAACGGGCCATTAAAATACTATGGATAACGCAAACGACTCCTCGCGAATTGAAACGACATTCTATTGGTCTGACGTCACCCGCCGTTCTCTTCGACGCGCGATGGCCAGCAGCAGCCAGACGTGTTCCGTTTATGTACGTATTTAGGTGGCGTACTAAGACATTTTTGTTGCTTTTAGCGTTGATTGAAGGAGCTTTTTATGCTTTTTTGTGCAGTTATTATTTGTATATGTTGTGTGTTCTGAGAATTTTTTAAGTAATGGCAGATTCCGGGTTTGGTTTGGTAAACGCACAATCAGATAACTTGCCAAAAGTCGATGCTTTTATGTTGGCTGCTTTTATAAATACAAATTCCCAATTTATTGGTGCTGAATTATGAGAAAAAAAAAACAGAGAGGTATGTAACATTTATTCTTTGTAGTACTGAGGCATATTTAAGTATAAGTAGGTACCTATACTGTTACGAACTTTTATATTCTTATAAATTAATGTTATAGGTAAACTTATTTTTCAGATCAGGTAGGGAGACGTATAGAGATAATGCTGTAGGTTATGTAGAAGTGAAAAGAGACAAAAATATTTGTTTAGTACGTGGAAAAATAACTCCAGAGCATAGCGTGAAAAAGAAAGTTTTTTTATATATTGACACCCCCTTACCCTTGTTATTTTTAAAGATTCTTTTTTTTACGAAATTATAGGAAATAAATTGTTTATCAGTAATGAAAATATTATACAAGGTGTCCCATAATTACGCCAAATTAAGTTACTTTTTTAAGTGAAAACCCCTATATATTTTTGCATCCTTAGGAAATTTCTAGATATTCTAGATATATTTCATGTATAATATCCTATACCTATCTTCAAATGTTTACGAAATATTGACAGTTGAAAAGCGAAAAATACCTACAATTTTCTGCACCACCTTTTTTGAGATACCCTGTATAACTAGAATTAATTTTAAAAGAGAGTATATGAAAAACCATGCAACTTTTTTATTTAATGTTTTATTC